AACAAGTCTCCTAATCTCTTGGCTGCCTTACTTCCCCTACCTGACTTAAGCTTGAAACAATGCCTTAAGCCTGAAACAATGCTGATAGTGAGTGCAGCCCTGTGCTGGAAAGGAAGGGTTCCCTCTAGGTCAATCAGGCCTAAGAAAGAATATCCTGTGAAACCTGCTTTGTTTAAAATGCTCTCAACTCAATGATAAGGGTCCAAGCAGGAAGTGAGTTTGTTGCTCAAAGTTTTATGGCCCTTTAGCTATCTGACCCTGACTCAAATTGGGCCCTCAAGGTTCTTTGTATGTTATCTATTGTTTGATCCCCACTGCCTGACAATGATTAATAAGCTTTACCTGTATTCCTGTGCAAAATGAACCTAATAAAAACCCACTGAGGTAAAGGCTTTTGGCCCTTTTCCTTTGAGAGATGGGTCACTTTTCTTCCCCAAGCAGATCATGTATTGGTAGACTTATTCTCATCTTTGGCAGCTGGGGAGGCGGGGACCCTGCAGGCGGAGCCCCCCACAGTCCTTCAGGTGTATCCGTATTGATTTATTAAAATGAATTTTTCCAGAAGCATGAAAATTGACCAGCTGGTTTCTAATTCTCAAGTAATATTTCATTTATTATTTAAGAACAGTGATTCTGCCAGATTTCCTTCTTTTTGTATCAAGATACCATTTACTGATCCACAATTAGTGTGCAAAAAATGTAGGCATCTTTGACATTTCATCATTTCATATCCTAAATATGGAAGTTTCTGGCTAGAAACTTTTAAGAAAAATATGCTGTATTAAATAAGATATTTTTAAGCATATTTTATTGAGCATGCTATTACAGTTGCCCCAATTTTGTTTCTCCCCTTTATCCCCCATCTCCCTATACCCTTGTACCCTCCAGCATTCCCCCTGCCATCCTTAGTTCATGTCCATGGGCTGTACATGTACGTTTTTTTGATTCTCCAATTCCCATACTACTCTTAACCTCCCCCTATTTTGTACCTACCTATTATGCTTCTTATTCCCTATACCTTTTCCCCTATTGTGTCACTCCCCCTCCCCACTGATAACCCTCCATTTGACCTCCATTTCTGTGATTCTGTTCCTGTTCTAGTTGTTTGCTTAGTTTGTTTTGGTTTTTGTTTTTTAGGTTCAATTGTTGATAGCTGTGTGTTTGTATTCATTTCACTGTTTATATTTTTGATCTTCTTTTTCTTAGATAAGTCCCTTTAATATTTCATATAATAAGGGCTCAGAGATGATGAACTCCTTCAATTTTACCTTACCTGGGAAGCACTTTATTTGCCCTTCCATTTTAAAGGATAACTTTGTTGGATAGAGTAATCTTGGACGTAGGTCCTTGCTTTACTACTTCAAATACTTTCCGGCCCCTCTTTGCCAGCAAGGGTTTTTTTAAGAAATCAACTAATAGCCTTACGCAAACTCTTTGTAAGTAACTGTCTCCTTTTCTCTTGCTGCTTTTAGAATTCTCTCCTTATCTTTAATCTTGGGTAGTGTAATTATGACGTGTCTTGGTGAATTCCTCCTTGGGTCTAACTTCTTTGGGACTCTCTGATCTTCCTGGACTTCCTGGAAGTCTATTTTCTTTACCAGATTGGGTTTATTTTATTTTCAAATGAGTTTTCAATTTCTTGCTCTCCCTCTTCTCCTTCTGGCACCCCTATGATTCAGATGTTGAAACATTTAAAGTTGTCCCATAGGTCCTTAAGCCTCCCTCATTTCTTTGAATTCTTGTTTCTTCATTCTGTTCCAGTTGGATGTTTACTTCTTCCTTTTGTTCCAAATTATTGATTTCAGCCCCAGTTTCCTAGGGCTGAAATCTTCCCAGTTTCACTGTTGTTTCCTGTATATTTTCCTTTATTTCACTTTTCATATTCTTCATTTCTTCCTTCATTTTGCAACCCAGCTCAATACTTTGTCAGCATCCTAATTAGCAGTGTTCTGAACTCTGTATCAGATAGACTGTCTGTCTTCTCATCACTTAGTTCTTTTTCTAAAGTTTTGATTTGTTCTTTCATTTGGGCCATATTTCTTTGTCTTGCTGCACTTGTTATGTGGTAAGGGGTAGAGCCTTAGGGTACTGTCCGAGAAAGTGGGACAAGCCAAAGCAGGGCAACCCTCTTTGCTGTGTTGTGGCACTGTCTGAGGGGGAGGAGTCAGAGAGGCAGCAATGCCGCTTGCTTGGTTGGCTCTTGTCCCACTTTCTGTTACTTCCCTCACTTCCTACAAGTAGTGCCCTTTCACGTGATGATTTGTAGGTGGGTGGGTTTGTGTACATTTTAGGACTCTGTGGGCCTCTCCACCAGATTGTTGTGTGAGAGTAGGAGTCACCCCCACAGATTTTTATAACCCGTGGTTTTGAGTCTTTAGTTTCCCCCGTGCTGAACCTGAGTTTCATGGTCCCTCGATCTCCAGTTGTTCCTTCCTGCTTATCCACCTGCGAATGTGGGATGGCTCACACAGTCCATCACCTTGTCTTGTCGTTCATTCTCTCTGCCCCTCCTATAAGTCTGGATGAATGTTTACCTACTTGGTTGTTGGACTTCCTCGCAGTTTGATTTTCTGGCAGTTCTCGTTGTTCTTTGTATTTAAATTAGTGTTATTCTTCTCTTGGTGGTATGAGGATGTTGGGGACCACTCTGTGTAGTTTCAGAAATTGTAGCCCTGCGAGAGCAAGCTCTGAAAGGGGCTGGTAAGTCTCCCTGGAAAACCAGGTATAACACAGGTGGCAGGCATGACTCGATTCTAACATCAATGGTTCCATGGGAATCAGGCCTAAAATGTACATTTTTGTCCTTTGAAGCTGGTTCTGCTCAGCAATAAGCCCTGTCAGTACAACCTAGATGTCTGAGTTCAAAGCATAAGGAGTGAAACTCCCTACTTCATGATATATGCCCTTACTGCCATCTGGCACCTAAATGTCTCACAGACCCCAACCTGAAAAGAGTTCTGTGTTTCTTTAATTGTTATCTATAGATACTGTTAGTTTTTTATGCCTATAGTCTGTTGGACACTGATTGATAAGCTATGCACATGTGCTGTATCCCCCTGTACTTTCCAACCCTAATAAAAGCCATGTAGAAGAAGGGCTCAGGGCATTCTCCACTAGAAGGAATTGTATTCCCTCTTCCTGTCAGAGTGACAAGACTGTGTCCGGGACAACTCTTTATTCTCATCTGCAGCGGCCCAGGGAACCTCACTGGCCAAAGTTCCCCTTATGAGGAGAAGTGTTTCTGCTTATGTTATGCCTCTATCTTGGCCAGAACTCCTCTAAGATATTTTCATTGTAGCTGAAAATTGCTGTACTTATGAATCTAGTCTATCATATTTTACTCCTAAGATTTTTTAAATGAACATTTATATTATGCATGGTGAACAAAAGGCAAAGTCCAATGATCCAGGGAAAACTTTGTCAAGTGGTCCAAATATCAATTTATGGATTAATTCTGTCCACAATAAAATACCCATTCCATAATTTTATTATTACTATTGTTATACATAACTTTTTGTTTGTTTTAGTGCAGTTAAATGGCAAATTAAAATGTAGGTATGCACCTATGTCATTATCATCCATTAAAAATAAAAATAAAAAAAGGAAAAATAAAAAACCTAAGTGACTACTCTATACTAGAATTTTCCCCCTAATCCTTACCTGAGAAAAAGGGACAGAGAGAGAGAGAAACACGATGTGAGAGAGAAACATTAATTGGTTGCCTCCTGTAGACATAGACTGGGGATTGAATCTGCAACCTAGGTATGTACCCTGACCAGGAACTGAACCCACAACCTTTCAGTGCATGGGATGATGCTCCAACCAACTGAGACATACTGGCCAGCACCCAGGATTTATCAATATTGGTAAAACAGCAGTGAATAGACAGAATAAAAACATCTGTCCTGATGAAGTGTATATTCAGGGAATAGTAGGAATACAAACAAAATAAATAAATAAAAGTTCTGTGGACAAAAATAACAAGAAACATAACATGAAGTGAAAGGGATCAAATTTTAAATAGGTTGGTCAGGGAAGGCTTCAATGAGAAGGTAATTACTTTCAGCAGTATGTAGGCAACTTTGTAAAGGAATACAAAGAAAGCAAGGACCTGGACAAAGAGGTGGGGCCAAAATGTTTGTGTGTGTGTTCGTTTGCTTTAAGATAGGAGAACTAACTAACAATGCATGCTAATGTAAATGGTTCCAAAAAAAAAACCCAGGAAAACTGATGATGCAGGATAAAATGGGATATCATTTAAATAGCCTCTTTGAGTAAGTATAAAAAGACATAATATAATACACATGGTATGATGAATAGGTATCTGTAGAAGTTCTCTTCTGTATACTATTATACTTTAAATTTTTCAAAGAAACACCATGTCATCAACTGAAAGATAAAGAGAAAGTGATGGAAGTTTTAGGAGAATGAAGATATAAATGGTCATCGAGGAGAACTACAAATATGAAAGAACTAAGGACATGTAGTATAATTATCCAGGGAGCATTAAGAGCTAACTCTTATTTATACAATAGCAAGGCTAATAAAAGAAATCTTAGTTTAAAAACCTATTAAGATTTCAACTGGTAAAATAAAACACTATTATCATTTATGTGAATAAGCTCTTTTGCATCATTTTTAGTTAAAGTTGTACCCACAAACTTCTAAAAGGCCAACCAGAATTCAATTATGCAAGTATTATCTTCTGGATCCTAATATATAAATGTGTGTATTACTTGTGTTCTCTTTTTACTCCCTCATCCTAACTATAAAAATGTAGAAACCCAAATATACATATCTCCTAGAACCTACTGTGACAATTCATATGCCTACAACTAATTTAAATGATAAAAAGTAACAGTCAAGAGTAATCACTAATTGAAATGTAATACAGAGCCCACAAAGCACAACAAAGTCCAAAAACATGGGAGGGAAACCTGGAAATAGGAGGCCTATTGTTCAATGTACTGTAACAGTTTAATATTATCTTGGTAACTTACTGCAGATCGATCCAGGAAGAATTGATGAAACTCAAGGAAGACACGACGAGTCTCCTTAGAATTGGTTTGTTTATAAAGGTCTGAATAGAGGTAACAAAGCTGTAGTAAAGAAGAAAACAGAAAAGATAAAGTGAGAAGTTTAAAAAAATATATAATATGTTAGAGTTTCATAGAGTATGAATGTTTGGAACAGGTAAGTCACCATAAATAATCTAGTGACTATCATATAATGAATATTAAAAAATAACATTCTAAGTATCTTTCCTGTTTATCCTTGTATGTTTAGAAAACTGAAAGAAGTATATCCAGTTATCTTGCATAAGTGAAAAGTTTTATGGTTTATGAATCAATAAAAGAACTCTGAATTGGCTAAATTGTAAAATATATTACCAATGTTGCAGGGTCAAACTGTGAAATTACATGATGTAAAAAAACAGCTAAGTGAGCAGGGCGAGATTTTAGCAGTTCAATGCTCTGGAAACAGCTGCACTGCCCATTGACCTAAAAAAAGAAATAATTGTATGTCAATAACTCTAACACAAAAGCTCAACTAAAGATATCAAAATTTTACTTTGATCTACCCTAAAAAATTCAAGATTTAAAATATTTCACTAGGATGTATTAGCAACAGAGGCTATAGAATCTCTTCCTCTGAAATAAATAAACTCTTGGAAATAGGATGGGAGAATGCCCATCTTGGGAGAAATCAAGTTTAGAAGATGATTATCAAGGAGCTGAGATATCTACAAATCAGTATGCAAAAAAAAACTATCTAACAACACTTCTAGAATTGTAATGAAAGGCTTTTGCCTAATAATGAAATAGACATTTTCCTTTTCTTTTGGGCTAATTGTAGAAATTGTGGTAGAAAATGGAACTGTATGATTTTAAGACACTGCCTGGAATACTTACTTATATATTCCCTAACTAGACTGAAAACAGAAAACAGTAATAGTTATAACAGAGGTAACTAGAATCACAATTTTCATATAATTTTTTATTTTTAAATGAGGTGAGACTAAAGTTGATCTAAACAAACAATACCAATTCTACACCATCTCTTTCAGAAAATATAAGAGGTAACACTTCTTAATTGATTCTAAAAGGCCATCACTACCCAACTATCAAAACCTAACAAAATAATTACCAAAAAAAAAAAAAGAAAAAACAAAAAACTATACAACCCCCATAAACACAGACACAAAAGCCTTTAGCAAAATAATAGCGAATGGAATACAGCCACACATAAAAAGAAAAATACATTATGACCAGTTAGGGTATATTCCCAGAATCTAAAACTGACTTAACATGCTAATATCAATCCATGTAATTTGCCATATTAGGAGACTATTATAATCATCTCACTCAATAAAATTCAGGATTCATTCATGATCAACACTCTTAAACTAGGAATAGAAGGAAACTTTCTTAACCTATAATAAAAATATCTACAAAAAAGCTACAGCTAACTTTATAATACTTTATGGTGAAAGACTAATCTTTTTTCCTAAGATCAGTAATAAACCAAAGATGTTCTACCTCGCCAATCCAATTCAACCTCATACTGGAAATCTTAATCAGTGCACAATAAATAAGAGATAAACAAATTGGAAACAAAAAAGCATTATCTCTAATCATTCACAACATGGTTGTCTATGTAAAAATATCCCAAAAAGTTTTTTAAAAAGTTCCTGGAAGTACCAAAGGCAAGAATCAAGCCAATCATATTCCTATATGCTATCAATAGACAACTAGAATTTCAAATAAAATTTAAAAACTTTATAATAACACCTCCCTCTCCGCAAATGAAGTACTTAGGTATAATTAATGACTTCTTATCAGTTTTAAAAGCAAAGTCATTTCTATTGTTTAAAACTAAAATAAACAACTAACTAACCCATGCAACTAACCAATTAATCTTAGTCCTGAAGTATAGCTTCAAATCCTTAATAATTTAATGTCAACCTCCCAAAAGTGTATATTTTTACATCCAAAAATCCCAAAAAACTAATGGGTTTTTAGAAAAAATATCATCACCTGTTCATGTTCAGTACCAAAATCATCATCCTCTGCTCCAATAATATGAGGTGCTGCATGGGTTGAGGGACTTCCAGTAAGTGATTGAGTGTCCTGGTAATATTCAGAGAAAAGAAATGGAAAAATTAACTAGTCATCAAATTCAGAGACAGGATAAAGCCACACCATTAAAAGATGTGGTTCACTAAACAGGTGGGATTTCTTTTTATTTATTTTCTTTATGCACTTTATTTTCACAGAAGTGGTTCTCAAATTTCAAGGCCATGAACTACTGTAGCAAAGAAAACTACTATTTATTTTTTTTCTTGTGGGAAAAACAGTACTTCCCCTGGAAATATAACACATTCTTTGCTCACTATACCCTTGGTTTTCTGATTCTTATCACTCTCTGTATACCTCATTTATTATGTTATACAAATCTAAACGTTGTTACAGAAAGAAAAAAACTAGCTTATTTTAAAAAGTTAGATTTTAAAAAGTTAGTGAAGACAACAGGACAAAGGAAGAATGAGAGTAGAATTGATAAGACGAATTCACTAGAGGTTAATACAAAGATTTCTATTAATGTCACATATTGAAAACCATCACTAAACCCTATTTTTAATTTTTAATTCTTTTTCATATTTGCATAATGCAGGGTTTTTCAACCCTGGCACTGTTGATATTTTGGGTCAGATAATTCTTTGTTGTGGGAGCTGTCCTGTGCACTGTTAAGGTATTCGGCAGCATCCTTGCCTTCTACCCATTCACTAAATGCCAATAACAGCCTCTCAGTCGTAAAATCAAACATATTTCCAAACACTTCCAAATGTCCCCAGAAGCAAAAAAAAAAAAAAAAAAAAAATCACTCCTGGTTGAAAATCATTTGGCATAATGCAAAATAAAATTTGAAGTAATCACATAAAAACCTACTATAGAAGCAGGTGACAAAATTATAAAAATTAATTAACAGATCTCATTCCATGCAACAGATCATCCATTTACCAACTTGCCAAGTAAAATCAGCATGAAAAAGGCAGTGTAGAGCATTAATATATACTGTAAAAAATACAGTATGTCTGAAGACCACAAATACCAAAATCAGACCACAGAGCATCAAGAGAAATAAAATTTGGAAAAAAATAGAAAAAAATTAGTTTGGCTTAAATCTGGCAACAGTTAACATGCAAGATTTGTCTATAGCTGAGCAAAGAGAGTGAGGCTATAATCATTTGGGAGTCAGGTACAAAGTAGTTATAGTGGAAATTATGAAATGGATCCAATAAATTATAAATTAAGTAAATAATATATAACTGTTGTTTCTTCTCCTTAAATGTTGTTCTGACACTATATATTTGCATCTCCTAAACTTGATTTGGCCTTTTTTACTACTTATATTTTCAGAAGCACATATATTTTAATTATTCATTTATTTTTATTGTATTTTTCTATTACCATTTATCCCCCTTATACTCTCTTCTACCTTTACTCTCCTGCAATTACCACACTGTTGTCAGTGTCCATGAGCTCTTTTTCTTTTTTGCTCAATCCCATCACACCCCAAACACCACCCCAGAGCTGTCATCCTGTCCTCTATGTATAAGTCTCTCTCTATTTTGCTTGTTACTTTGGATTTATTCATTAGATTCCCCATATGAGTGAAATCATATGGTATATGTCTTTCTGTGACTGGCTTATTTCACTTAGCATATAATGTTCTTCAGGTCCATCCATGCTGTTGAAAGAGTAGAGTTTTATTCATTTTTAAAGCTGGGTAATATTCCATTGTGAAAAAAACTAGTTTTTAAAACCCAATGTTTTAATAATTTAAGAAAAAAATCAGGTGAAACAATAGAAAGGCATACACAACAGTAGTAGTTAGACAACTTTGGATTTTATAGCTGATTTAATTTATCTGATTTTTCTATATGTTCCTAATAATCAATATATCATAGTATGATATTAAATTTTTTACTATAAAACTTTATACAATTAAAAAAATAAAATCAAAATGCTAAAAGTATATTTCCACTTCAAGGTATATACCCAAAAGAACTGAAACAACTTGAACAGATTTGTATAGTCATGTATATAGTAGCATTATTCACAACACTCAAAAGATAGAAACAGCTCAAGCATTCACTGATAAATGAATGGATTTAAAAAATGTGGTATATATATATGATGGATTATTATTCAGCTTTAAAAGGAAGAAAATTCTGACACATGCTACAACATGGATGGACCTTCAAGACATTATGCTAAGTGAAACAGACTGGTCAACAAAAGGACAAATAGTGTACGATTCTACTCATATGAGGTTTCTAGGGTAGTCAAATTCATAGAGACAGAAAGTAGAATGGTAATTGCTAGATGCTTGAGGGAGAGGATAATCTGAAGTTTATATTTAGTGTGTACCAAGTCTTAGTTATAGAAAGATGAAAAAGTTTTAGAGATGAATGCTATGATGGCTGCACAACATGACTGTAACTTAATGCCAATGAACAGTATACTTAAAAATAATTAAGTGGTAAAGTAGTAAATTTTATGTTATATATATTTTATTACAATGAAAAAAATTAAACTACCTAGTAATACTATGTAGTAGCTCTCCATTTATCAAAAATGTTATTAAGTTCCCAACTGTAATGGCATAATCAATAAAATATATTTTTAAAGTTTTTATTAAGTTCCTTGAAAGCTTAAGCTTGCTTTCAATAATAATAATATATAAATAGTGGATATGTCTGTCACTTTAAGTATAAGGAAAACACTATCACTTTATAGATTTCACACTCACAGTGTCCTGAATTACTTCACTTTTCTCTAGGTTTTCCTCTAGATAAATCTTCTCTTTCAGGCCACACTTAGGACTCTATTTAAAAATAATATTCAGTTCATTTCAACAGGCTCACCAAAAAAAAATTGTGTGTGGAAAAATAATCTTCTGAACTTCATATATATATTTAAGACTACTAAGTATCTTTCATATTATACCTCGGTCTGCTACTTTTTTCCTGACTTTGGCAGATCACTTATTCTCTTGGCTTTTATATTGATAAATTTATATAGAACCAATAGAGTAATTTTACAACAACTCCAGGCATGAGGACATATTTCTACCAAATAACTGTAACTAGATATTACATATATCAAACTCATTACGTCAAAATCAATCTCCATCTTTACCATCTTTGTTAACTCCCTCTGTCCCAAACTATTCTTTTTGTTCAAGTTAAAAGCATTTTGGACTATTTATACAAATGAAATTAAGCTTCTATCTATTTTGCTATTACTACCTCATATAAAACTGATGTTTGGATTTTTATAAAATTTATATGGTTATGTTTGCAATGACCTAATATAAAATATGAACTATCTGATATATAGAACTTCATTTCTAGGGGATAAGAAATACCCTAAAAACAATGGAAACCATTCTTCAGAGCAGCTGAAAATGAGGCACAAGAGATTTTTGTGTGAATGAGAATAGGAAAGATACATGCTACCCATACATATACCAAAATACAAGTGAGAGAAAACAGTAAAAGCTACTGCTGAGTCCTGTCAATTTAACAGAAAAGACAATTTAAGGAGATTCTACAAGCCAAAAAAGAATAATGATTGCAATAGACTGAAACACAGTAAGCAAATGTTAAAATCTATGAATTCAAAATATCATACTCATGTGGGAATATACATACACATGCCTACATTGGTGACCTTTGGAGTTTCTTAGGGCACCAGATACATAAAGCAAAAGAATCAAGCATTTATCCCACATTCTCTATATAAGGTATATTTTATGATAATCTAAAAACTATTGTAATAAGGAAAAATTTTTCTTTACAAATTCCACCTAATATACAGACTAAAGGACAAAATAATATCATTGTTGTTGATTACAACAATATCATTGTTAATTAATTTTGAAACAATTAATTAAATCATGGAGGCAGGCATTTTGACCATCAATGGCAGGTAAGAACATGAGATAAGAGCTTAACAGAGAACTTAATAATGAAAGAATCATGCTGGTATCATCTGAACACCTTAAACAAACTTAAAAGTCACCCCCCCCAAATATTCACCACCTGATGTTATGTAATAGAGTGTACATCGTACCACCCATGAATCGTTCTTGACAAACAACTCTCAAACCTTAATCTGATCAAGATTTGATCTTACTATCAACTTTCAGAAAATATACTCAAAGGAACATGTTAAATAACATCATGAAAAGATAATTACTGGACATATGATCTAGCTTCTTTAACAAAAAAATGGCAATGACAAAAAAGAGGAACCATTATAACTTCAGACTCATCAACCAAAGGCTGAAAATCTTTATTAAATCCTGATTCAAATAAACTAACTGCAAAGAGATCATCAGAAGACAATTAGGGTAGTGGTTTGGGGCCCTTGGGATGAAAAGAGGTTGATCAAATGGAGAGCTGATTCTTTGGGAAACTGAAACTATACAATGGCACCCTTTTCTCATAACATACTGCAAATGGGATATGAAGTTTGGAGGTAAAGATTGCAGAGGACACTTAAAAACAGGTGGTAAGAGAATTCTGTGGGCCAAAGGGAAGGTCACCTGGCCTTGTGCCTGAGACTGGGGCTACGGCAGAAGCACTGGAGAGCTGGGTCAGTGATAGCAACCTAGCAGCTCCATCCCCTCCCAAAGCAGGGAAGTCTCAGACCTAAGCTAAGAGAGACTTGGACAGGAAAAAAGAGAAAAGTCATTGGGGGGATAAAAAGGCAGTTAAGTGACACAAAACCACCAGCATACCCCTACTGGGGCAGTGGTCACTGGCTGGAACACTACTAGAGAAATTGGGGAGCCCAGTGACACTTGGAGCTGGGAAAAGAGAGGGATCTCAACAGGCCATGACCCAGACAAAGAGTCTGGACTGGTCAGAGTTGGAATGTGTGGGAAGCAGGCGCTTGTTAGGAGTAGCAGACTGCACCCAAAGGGATTTTTTTCAAATGAGAATCTCAGCTACTGTGCATGGACCTAACAAAGGCAGTGCCTCAGCCAGTGAAGAGGGAGGAGTGGGAGTGTAATTTGCTCCCACTCAGGATGCCTCAGAGATTGATCAAACTGGGGC